TAAGAAAAAAAAGAAAAAGTAAATAAAAAAGATTTGAAAAAAAAAAGAAAAATAAGCGAAACGTGACACATCTTTGGTATAAAGTGGATTACACATAAAAATTTTAAATTCTTTAAAATATTTATTAAATATATAAGAAAAAGCAAAATAAAAAAAGAAAAAGTATAAAAAGCAAACACATGGTATGCTCATAGTATCAAGTGGATCCTATACAAAAATAAATTTAAAATTCTTAAGAAAATATTTATAAAAAGTCAAAAAAAAAGAAAAAAGAAAAAAGAAAAAATATTAGTATAAAGTGTGTCTCGCCTTTAAAAATATGTATAAATTTTTTATGAAGGATAAAAAACTTAGTAAATTAAAATATTAAATAATAATTTTATTAATATAATACATATATCTAAATGATAAGTCTTTTTCTTTTCAAAATTTTTATTATGGATTTAAACAAAACAAAAAGAAAAACGAAAAAAAATCAAGGACCAAAAAATAAGAAAAATATCAAAGCCGGATGTGAAATAGATACTTTTGTAATATCCTTTTCTTTAAAATTATCTAATTAAAAAAAATGTTCTAATAAAAAATATCAAATGAATCCATCATTTTAAAAAATATTAAACTATTAAAAAAAGTGAATGAAAAAAAGAAAATAAAAAGAGGAAAAAGAAAACAAATAACTTGATGAGTTAGACAAAAAAAAAATTAAAATCTTAAAAACTATTTATTAAATATATAAAATAAAAAAATAATTAAAAAAGTGAACATATGGCATCCTTTTGATATCAAATGAATTACACAAAAAAATTAAAATATTAAAAAATATTAATAGGAAAAAAAATAAATGACTGATATATAACATACCTTTAATATTAATTGGATCTTACAAAACTAAAATCTTAAAAATATTTATTAAATATATAAAAACAAAAAAACAAAATAGTGGCACACTTTCGATTTCAAATGAATTCAGCATAATAAATGAAATCGTAAAAAATATTTATTAATTTTTAAAAAAACTAAAAACTGAGAAAAAAAAAGAAAAAGTAAAAAAGAAAAAGCATAATATAAAGTAGGTTCCATCTTATATAAGTTAAATTTATTTAATAATTTATTAAAATTAAAATTTTTTGAAAAAATTTTAAAAAATCTACAAAAAATAAAGTGAAAATCTTTAAAATATTTTTATTTTTTAAAAAAAGAAAATGGAAAAAAAATAAAAAAAAAATAAAAATGATAAAAGCTTGATATTTACTAAATTTAAATTATTAAAAAATTCACCTTAAAAATTTTAAAATATTAAAAAACTAAAAAAAAAACTAAAAAAAAAGAAAAAAAAAAAAAAAAGAAGGATGAGCAAGCCACGTACAGCTCCCTTTGAAAACTCCTATAGTCCGTACTAGAGTAAAATTTACTGTAAAGACTAGAAAAGTGCTCTAATGTTGCAGCGGGTATATCTATTAATTTATGTATTCATATAATATAAAGTAGTAAAAATTTATATTATATTTTAAACGAAAATTATGAGTTATAATGCGCTTCAATACAAAAAACACAAAATATATAATTTTTTATTAAATTTATGTATAACTTTTACAAAAATTTATACCATATCACTTTTATGTTTTTTTTTTATATCATTTTTGTATCATGTTTTGAATTTACTAATCTAGTCATAGCTATCGATCATATATAAATTGTTTTATCATTTTTATCCATTGGTTTCTTTTATTGTAAAATTTATCGAATAGAAAATTAAAAAAAAAATAAATTGGGATTTCACATGGACACCTATATTGTTTTTTAACAAAATTTATCAAATAAAAAGAAAATAATCTAAAAAAGGTTAAAAGAAAAAGCAAAAAAAATGGCACATTGAGGTCTTTAATGAGAGTAAAAAAATTAGAATGAGTCAAATTCATAATCATGGATAGATGAATAAATAGATCACTTTTTAATTATGTATAAATATAATATTTTTATTACATTAAGATGTTAAATAATAACTTAATTAATATAATATATAATTATATAAATAATTAAAAATATAATTTAATATATAATCAAGATAAAAGGGAACACCATAAATTTAACTTCAACTCAATTTTAATTTTTGTTAAAAAAATCTCAATTCGATTCAAAATAAAAAAAAATGCATCTATTAGATTCGAACAAATTGAAATTCAACGAAAATGGGTTATTTTATTAAGCATACCATCATTAACATTTTTCTTAAAAATTAATTTATGAATTACAATTATTATCAATTATCTAATTAAAAAACAAAAAAAGCAAAAAAAGTGAAATAGGTTTCATCAGTATACATACATTTTTTTTTAATTATCCAAAAAAAATAAAATAATTTAAAAAAAATCAAAAAAACAAAAAATATGAAAAAGTCGAGTTACCACACAATATCAATAATTATTAACTTTCCTTGCAAAATTTATATCATAAATTTATGCTTTTTTTTTTTATTTTCATTTACTTTTGTTCCGTTCTTTATATAATTAATAATTTTTTGTCTAAATTTTAAATTTTTTGTAAAGCTAATTTGATATTATTGTTTAAAAATATACTTTTCTAATATCCTTTTCTTTATACCATAAACTAAATCTTTATACCATAAACTAAAAAAAAGCCCGAAAAAAAAATCAAATTTAAAGATTACCTTGACATTTCCATTGATATTTTTAACAAAATTATTTAATTGAAAACAGGTATAAAAGATATTTTTAATCAATAATATAGAATTGATCAGCCTATAAAAAAATTATAAAAAATATTTATTAAATGTGAAAAAAGAAAAAAAAATCTAAAAATAGGAATAAAATGACGAAAAAAGTTTTTTAAAAAGAGTTGAGTTAACATATAATATTAGTAGTGATATTTATTTTTTAAAAAATTTCTATCATAGATTTTTTTAAGGAAAGATTAAAAAATAAAATAAAATAAAATTTAAATGCGATATCAATATCTCTGTTAATATCTATGTTTTAAAAATTTTAGATTAAAAAAATAACCCAAAAAATACATCCTTGGTATAATATCAAATTGGCCCAACACTGTTTTTAAAAAATCAAGATGTTTCAAATTATTTATCGAATAAAAAGGAAAAAAAATTGTAAATAGAAAAAATTAAAAAAGCGAAATCGAAAAGTGAAAGATCTTCAATTTGGTATCAAGTAGGTCAAAAAAATAAGAAAATATATTAATTAAATATAAAAAATTAAAAAGGAAACACCGCACTATAAAAAAGAAAAACCCCTAAACAGTAATGAAAAATGTTTGTCCCATTGAACAAAAAACCAAAACAAGTTATGAGAATATAAAAATATTTAAAAGATAAATGGACATAAATTAAAAAAAATGGATCGTACTAAAAAGTAATAAAAATTGGGTGTTACGAAAAAAAAACAAAAAGATAATTATGAAATAAAAGAAAGTAAATTCTTTTAAAGAAAAAGTCACAATTGACCAAATGAAAAAAGATAAAAAAAAAAAAAAAAAAAAGTGTCGCCATTGCGACCACCGCCATCAGCCGCCACTCATCAGCGACTATTTCATCCCAAATTTCACCCAAGAAATCCTTCTTTCCTCATCTTTCCTCCTATCAAGTTATTTCCCTAAAAAAGTTCTAAGATTTTCTTACATCCATATCTAAAACCGCGGATTCAAAATCCAAAGTACTCCTTCTCTGTTGCTAAAAAAACCCATCTTCTACTATGTTCTTCCTTTCGTCCTAGGCTTTTTCTCCTTTAAAAACCCAAAACCAAAACCTATTAAAACAACCCTAATCCGAAACCCTCTTTTCTTTTTCCTATTTTTTTGGTGGTTTTCTTAAAGATTTTTATATTGGTAGTGTTGCTTGTTTTGTGTATGAGTTGATGGTTGCTTGGTGTTGAAGACTAAAGGCAGGGATGGGTTTTGGACTTTTTTTTCAATGGAGCTTTTTCTGCTGGCTACAAGAGGTTCATAGTGGTAGCGGTGTTGATAATTTTGAGTTGAATGCTTAGAATAGATAAGGGTGGTAATGAGTAATGACGGTGGATGAAGGGGTTTTTGACATTTTTTGTGCTTGCTGGTGGGTATTGGGATTTTTTCAAAAAAAAAAAAAAAACAAAACACAAAAAAAAACTAGCCGACACGTGGCATAAACAGTACTCCATACATACAACATTTAGAGTATAGATAGATTATAGATAAATATGCTTGATCAATAGAGGAAAAAGTTGGATGATAACTAATAAAGATTAATGCAAATACTTAAGATTTAAAATTTAAATGCGAAGTATTCAGTTTCAAGCTTTTATGATGGATAAAACATTTGTAAGTCTACAATATTTTAAAAGATTCATAAATTTTATTTGTGAATTAATAATTTATCTTGATTTTGAAAATAGAGTAATTCTTTTTAATCTTCAACTTTTTAAATACCCAAAAAAAAAGTTGGAAGATAAAGTTGAAAATACATCTTTCTTAGCTACCATCTTGAGAGGGAAGGTTACAAGTTATATATTCTGAAATCCCAAAAAGTGATTAAAATCGATCATTATGATTAGTTTAATTGATTATTTTATGTTATATTATAAATATATATAATTTACATTTATAAATATAAATATAAATATAAAATAAATTTTATGCAATATAAATTATATTTTTTTAATAGTTAAAACAGATCAAATCGATTGAAATGATTAATCTGTGTCAATTATCTTAGTTAATTTAATTTAATATTTTAAGGGAAATCGATTAATTTAATTTAATTTTTTTTTAAAACCGATCAAGTGCTGTCTCTACTCCATGTGGATAAAGACTAAATCAGAGAATGAAACAGCGAGAAAAGTGACAACGTTGGAACATGCATTGCCCAATTGCCCGTTACTGTTTAAACAACCAAGCCATGCATTTGCCAAAAACCGAAAAGACAACCTAAAAACTCTTTCTACTCATCTCTTGTTAAGCTGTAAAGATGTAACGCGTGCCAAACCCTGTCTCACGAGCCCTTTCTCTCTCTTTAATTCACGCGCTCTCACTCCACTTCGATTTAATGTTCGACACGTGTTCTTCCAGTAACTTTATAAATAGTCCTGTCCCTAACCTCCCGCATCCCCACCCAACCCGAAGGCCGTTTTCCTCGAACGGACCGGAATCGCAACCCTGTGTTTCGTTTCATTACTCTTATATTCTCATCTCGGCTGCCCGTTACCCGCCACCGCCACTGCCGTCAACACCCAAAATGGAGGCCCACCGGCGATCTTCGACTAAATCTGTTCAATCTCTTAAGCCTACAAAAACAATTCCTTTAGAGGAAGATTCCACAAAAGCCTCCGACGCATTGCCCCTTCCCTTGTATCTAACGAATGCGGTGTTCTTCACGCTCTTCTTCTCCGTGGTTTATTTTCTTCTTGCCCGTTGGCGTGAAAAGATCCGAACCTCCACGCCTCTCCATGTAGTCACCTTTTCCGAGATCGTCGCGATTCTCGCTTTAGTCGCCTCGTTTATTTATCTTTTAGGATTCTTCGGGATTGACTTTGTTCAGTCTTTGATTCTCCGACCATCGACTGACGTGTGGAATTCCGAGGATTATGAAGAGGAAAATGAAGTTTTGCTTCGTAAAGAAGGTGCCCGCAAAGTCCCTTGCGGCCAAGCTTTGGATTGCTCGCTTGCGCCTCCTTCCGCACCTATTGTAACCGCCCAGAAAGTGTTCGGTGAAAAGCCTGTGACAGTTACAACTGAGGAAGATGAAGAAATAATTAAATCCGTAGTGGCTGGAAGAACCCCTTCATATTCTTTGGAATCTAAATTATGTGATTGCAAGAGAGCGGCTGCGATCAGGCGTGAGGCTTTGCAGAGATTAACGGGGAAGTCATTATCAGGATTGCCTTTGGATGGATTTGATTACGAGTCGATTTTAGGGCAGTGTTGTGAGATGCCGATTGGGTACGTGCAGATTCCTGTGGGAATTGCCGGGCCTTTGTTGCTTAATGGAAGAGAGTACTCGGTTCCTATGGCAACCACGGAGGGGTGCTTGGTGGCTAGCACTAATAGGGGCTGTAAGGCTATTCATTTGTCTGGTGGAGCTACCAGTGTTTTATTGAGAGATGGGATGACTAGAGCTCCCGTTGTAAGGTTCGGTACTGTGAAAAGGGCGGCTGATCTGAAATTGTATTTGGAGGATCCTGAAAATTTCGAGACCATGGCTGTCGTTTTTAACAGGTTTGTTTGGATATTTTTCGAATTCTGGATTGAATGATTTGAATTCAAGTTAATATTGGTGCTGGTTTATTGAGAGTTTTGGTTTTTTGGGTGGTTGCAGATCAAGCAGATTTGCTAGGCTTCAGGGTATCAAATGTGCAATTGCTGGGAAGAATTTGTATTTGCGATTCTCTTGCAGTACTGGTGATGCTATGGGAATGAACATGGTTTCCAAGGGAGTTCAAAACGTTTTGGATTTCCTTCGAACTGATTTCCCCGACATGGACGTCATTGGAATCTCTGGTAAGTTTCATTTGCATAGACTTATAATTATGTACTTCCTCCTTTTATTGTTTGAGCTAGATCACTGAAATTTATAGATTTATGATGGATATAGGAAACTTCTGTTCCGACAAAAAGCCAGCTGCAGTAAATTGGATTGAAGGGCGAGGCAAATCTGTTGTCTGTGAGGCTATCATTAAGGGTGATGTGGTGAGCAAGGTCTTGAAGACGAGAGTTGAATCTCTCGTGGAGCTTAACATGCTTAAGAACCTTGCTGGTTCTGCTATGGCTGGTGCTCTAGGTGGATTTAATGCTCATGCCAGTAATATTGTGACTGCAGTCTACATAGCTACTGGCCAAGATCCGGCTCAAAATGTTGAGAGCTCTCATTGCATCACAATGATGGAAGCTGTTAATGATGGCAAGGACCTTCACGTCTCTGTCACAATGCCTTCCATCGAGGTAATTGATCGTGTTGCCGTCTGATTATCCAAAACCAGCATTTCACTGTCAAAATTATCTGGCAGAGTAAATTGTTAAACAGTACCCGATTATTTTTGTCAATGCCTAATTATCTCTGTTGCTGTCTGATTTATCATTTAGGTTGGCACTGTTGGTGGTGGAACTCAGCTTGCATCTCAGTCGGCCTGTTTGAACCTGCTTGGTGTCAAGGGTGCAAGTAAAGAGTTGCCTGGAGCAAACTCTAGAATGCTTGCAAGCATTGTATCTGGTGCCGTCCTTGCTGGGGAGCTGTCACTTATGTCTGCACTTGCAGCTGGGCAACTAGTTAAGAGCCATATGAAGTACAATAGGTCTAGCAAGGATGTTTCCAGGGCTTCTTCCTAGAGAACATGAACAGACATTGATGAGGCTTTGTCAAGCCTGAAAATGGTGTAAAGTTGCGAGTCCCATGGGATAAATGTATCGAAGCTGAGGAGACATCATCTCTTAGTAATAAGCTAAGGAGACATCATCTCTTTGTAACTTTCTTTATTTGTTTTGTGTTTGTTCCTTTCTTTGTTATTAATTTTGTTATGTTCAGAAAAACAAAAACCAAGCCATGTAATCTGAGAATTGTGTAAAATGACAGATTTGTTAATTGACATCTTTTGTTCTCTTTATAGATTCTACATATTACTATCTTCTGCTATATTTCTTGCTTCATGCCTTGGAGAAGAAACATGGAGAGGCCTTAAAATTTTAGTACTGATTGAAGAGAATGAGACGTTCAACAATCTAATGTTGGGGCTGGCATCTCATCCTGTTTTGGCTGCTTCAAACTTCAGCAATCTCTCTGTCCAATGAAGCAGTAGAATTCCAGGTAGAGAGTATGCAGCCATTCTTTACTTTGTCTCTGGTAGGTAACTTTCCATGAAAGTATCTGCCGTCTATATTTTCAGTTCATAACATTCACATATTTTGCACTTTGATATTCCTTAAAAGACCTTTGATGAATCCGATACAATCTAATAATATGGTCTAAAGCTTCGGAGAAAACGATGGTGATGTTTAGATTTTTGACCAAAAATTGTAATCTGGCGTGTAAACCGTTGTAAATTTCTTGTCACAATTACCTGATCATCAAGTGTTCTACTTTGATTAGCTCAGATAAATCCTGATCAGTCATTGCAGAAAAGTACGAAGACTAAATGGAGTAATAATGCCTATTAAGTGAATTGAAAGTTTAGGAAGCCGACATGATATTTTCATGTGCATTGGACAGGATCAAAGAAAGTATAATGGAGCCATAGAAAAAAAAACAATGGAGCCATAGAAAATAAATGAATAAATAAATAAACAAAGTGACCAAATGAGTCGTGCATTGCCATTTTGTTGGGTCAATATCAATGTTATCTGCCGGCAAACAAGTGGACTAGATTAAAAGATGGTTGCTGATATCAAATGAATTTCTTCAAAAATCCTCTAGCATATATCACCAAACACCATTGACATTGCCTTCCTTTTGATTGATTGATGTTAGCATAATTTTATCGCATCGGGTTGGATTTTCATGAAAGCTTACCCCCAACACAAATGAACAGTGATTTGATAGCAACATTTATCTATAATAACTATATATTAAAATTATCTCCTAAGGTTAGGTAACATGTAGAAAGATATAAGTTTTTTTAAAAACTGTCCTAAAATATCTCTTTTTTTAATTTTTGTAAAAAATCTCTTTGTTTTCAAAAAATCTTTTAAGAGGTTAATATATTGACATGTGGTATTTTTTATTGGCATTTTAAGTTTTCTTTTTTAAAAATATTTTTTATTTGTTTAATTATAATTGTAATAAAAATAAATATAAAAATTAAGAGATAAGTAGAAGGATAAAGAAGTATTGTTGGCAATTATAAAACCTTTAAATTAAAAAAAAAAATCAAACCAAACACCGAGATAATAAAAAAAATCGTAAAATATATTCAATTCATCAATAAAAAAATCAATTTCTAAAATCGTAAAACTAACCAACATATTAAATCTCAATCATATATTAAAATATAAAAACATAAAACTAAAATAATAATTAATTAAAAAATAACATACATAAAAATCAACTAAAAAACAGCAAAAATAATAAAAAAAATTCTTTAAAAATTTACCAAATCTAAAATTGAAATATTTTTTTTCAAATAAACGTATCTTAGAAACACAAAAAATAAAATTAAAAACTAAAGACATTAGATTTGAGAATTTTGTAATAAATTTCAAAAGAAAAAAACTAACTACAACCAATCAACACAAACAATCGTATAAAAAATTTGGATCATGTTTGATATAAGATAATACATAAGATATAACAATAATTATCTTATATTATGTTTGATTTGTATCTAAAAAAAAGATAAGATTATAAGAAGAATTAATAATTCTTTTAGTATAAGATGATTCAATCCTCTCAAAACGAAGAGCATTATTTTTAATTTATAAAATTAAACTTATATATACTATTATACTCTTAAAAATTATATTAATAATTTAAAATATATAAATTTTAAAAAAGATAAATTTTAACTAATAAATAAATTATTTTATCTCAATTCATACACACATCAAACACATATAAGATCTAAACTCTTTTTTTTTTTAAATCTAAAAAATTTAAGAAATAAAAAAGATAAAAAATTTTAAAATTATTTTTTTATAAGAATTTTAGAAAAAATCCAATGATAAAGCAGGGTAGTTTTCTAAGATCTAAACTCTTTTTTTTTTTTTTTTAAATCTCAAAAATCTAAGAAATAAAAAAGATAAAAATTAAAAAATTATTTTTTATAAAAATTTTAGAAAAAATCCTTCGATAAAGCAGGGTAGTGTTCCAGTTATATACAAACATGAACGCCCAATTCCAGTATTACCTCAAGATTATGCAGTTGAAAAATTCCCCTTAAGCTCAAGTCTGTTCACGAGATTTGAAGTAGAAGGGGATGTAGCTAGTCCAGTCCAACTGAGTTTTTTTCACTGTCTTTTTCTGTCAATAATTCAGAGAACCAAGTCAATCTCTTTCACCTGTGACTCATGCTGCGGAAAAGCCAGAGGCAAATTTCAACGAATTTATGGGCAATCTCTTCAAAATGAATTTGCACCTCGACTAATTGACTACATCAATAATTAGTATTTATTTACAAGCACTTGGCTATGTAGAAATTATAGTCTGATTTTGTCATCTACATTTTAGTGTCTTTTCAATGTGAAATGGATGCGTCCTCGTTGGTCTCGTGCTTTATGTCTTCCAATGTAATCCCTTTTCTGACCCTCAATTTTTTTGCTTGACTTTCACCTAACCCAATCTCTAAGATCAACTCCCAAAATCTGTGAAAGGGCAATGCTGTTAACAGTCTGGCTTGTCATTATTTTTGTTAAGAAAACGTTAAAAGATTTATGGACACTTATTAAGATGATATATTAATTTATAATAAGAGGTTTAAATACACATTTTATCCTTGAATTATATCATTTTTGTTAGATTGATATCTAGAGAAAAAAATTCTTAATTGGGTACTTTAAATTTATTTTTGGTATACACTTTGATCATGTTGACTAATATTGTTAGTAAGTTGGCTAACATGATAAGAACACTTAATAACATCATGGTATGTGACAAAAATTATATAATTTTTTTATTTTTTAAATTAAAAAATAAAGAATGATAATAAAAAAAATCTTTTTAATTTTTATTTTGAACTTTAAAAAATTAAAAAAAAAAAATTGGTGAAAGAAAATGAGAGAAAGATAAGAAAGGATGGAAGAAATAAAGGAGGAGAAAGAGGTTGCAATCACGTGACTCATTCAACTCGAGAAAGAGAGGGCAGGTAGTTGCATCAATGTTAGGTCGGTCTGATAGAGGAAGCGGTTGCATCATGTCGGAGTCTTCCTCTAAAGACGTTACAATTACATAAAAAGTAATAATGTCTTCGAGTCATTCCATACTCCATAATATATATATATATATATATATATATATTTATTTAAAATAGTTAAATAATTCACAAATCTCATAGTGAAGATAATACATATCAACTTATCATCATACATCATTTCCAATTCAACAAATAAGGCATACCAACTTACTAGGTCAATGTATTCAAAATAAATAAATAAACATAATAATATATATATATATATGAATATATAATAATCATATATGCATATATGATAAAAAGTTTAATCCAAAAGCTATTTTTTTATACTTTTTACTTTTTCGTTTTATACATAATATTAATATATTGATCCTATAATTATTTTTTTAATATATAAATATTACTATATATTTCCAATAATTACTTAATTAATATGATTTATTTCTAAAAGAACCTAATGACTTATTAAAACTATTGAAAAATATCAAACAAATATATTTATGTTACTAATAATAATTTTTTATACATTGTAATATGTTTAAAATAAATTACATATTTTAATTATCATTGGTATACTCATATACATATGATTTGTAATAAATTATAATCTCTTATAATTAATATGGGTATCATATGATGTGATTTTAAAATTTGAAATAAAGGATATAAAATAAGTCATTAAGATGAGTATATACATTACATTATAATAATACATTATCATGTCATATAGAAATATAAATTATATAATCTCTTATCATTATAAAAGTTATTTCAAAAAAATATGTTATGTTTAATTTCAAATGTATCATCTCTTGTCATGTGATTTAAAATAAAATATTTAAAATAAGTAATCGAGACGTATATTTACAATAATAATCTATAAGTTACATTTTAATAATATCATATCATGTAATATAAAATAAATTATATAATTTTTATTATTATCCATATTATTTAGATATGTGTTATTTTTAATTTCAAATGCATAATCTTTTATTTTAACTCTTATAATTTAAAATAATCACATATCATGATTCATGTTATTAAGATGATCATATAGTTTTTTTATTGTTATAAATGTTATTTATTATCAGTGTAATCTATTATTATAAATTCATATGTTTTGTATTTGTGTTGTTTGATTAATGACTATAATGTTTGATGTTACTTGTTATTAACAATTAAGTCTATATTGTCCTTCTCAATTCTTTTTTTTTCTAATAAAAAAACTTGTTTTAATCTTATTAAAAAAAGTTACAAACAACAATATATATTTAATATGTTAGGATTTATAAATATGTAATATATACACTGTTAATATAAAAAATACTTGCTTATTAAAAGGTGTTAAAAAAATTGATACCAATTTAATATGAATTTAATATATATTTAAATTTTAATATATACATTACTAGTATAACAATCATAATTGTATACATAACAATATTAGTTGTTAGTTCCAAATCCAAAATAATGAATTGCTAAAGATTAGAATAAAATAATGATTTATCTATTTATATTGTTTTTATATTATTAATATAAAATAAATTTATAATAATTATTAAATGAGTATCATAATTAAATGTTTAAAATAATCTTTATATGATATTGAATAGCTAATTAAATATTATAATTAAAAGATTAAAAATTAAATTAATCTTTTATATTTATATTAAATTAAAATAAATATAAAAATATATTAAACGTATAACTATATGGCACAATTAAATTAAACATGTATTCATATAATATATTTTATTT